AATTCATTCTATGAGGCCAACATCACCCTGATACCTAAACCAGACAAAGACACTTCAAAGAAAGAAAACTACAGACCAATATCTCTAATGAACCTAGATGCAAAAATCCTCAATAAAATTCTGGCGAATCGGATACAAAAACATATAAAAAAAATTGTACACCATGATCAAGTAGGATTCATCCCTGGGATGCAAGGCTGGTTCAATATACGGAAATCAATAAATGTTATTCACCACATCAATAGACTTAAAAATAAGAACCATATGATCATCTCGATAGATGCGGAAAAAGCATTCGACAAAGTACAGCATCCCTTTTTGTTCAAAACTCTAGAAAAACTAGGGATAACAGGAACATACCTCAATATTGTAAAAGCAATCTATGCTAAGCCTCAGGCTAGCATTATTCTGAATGGAGAAAAACTGAAGGCATTCCCTCTAAAATCTGGAACAAGACAGGGATGCCCTCTCTCTCCACTTCTCTTCAACATAGTTCTCGAAACACTGGCCAGAGCAATTAGACAGACGAAAGAAATTAAAGGCATAAAAATAGGAAAAGAAGAAATTAAATTATCACTATTTGCAGATGATATGATTCTATATCTAGCAGACCCAAAAGGCTCTACAAAGAAACTATTAGAGCTAATAAATGAATTCAGCAAAGTGGCAGGATTTAAAATCAACACGCATAAATCAAAGGCATTCCTGTATATCAGCGACAAATCCTCTGAAATGGAAATGAGGACAACCACTCCATTCAAAATATCTTCAAAAAAAATAAAATACTTGGGAATCAACCTAACAAAAGAGGTGAAAGACTTATACAATGAAAACTACAGAACCCTAAAGAGAGAAATAGAAGAAGATCTTAGAAGATGGAAAAATATACCCTGTTCATGGATAGGCAGAACTAACATCATCAAAATGGCGATATTACCAAAAGTTCTCTATAGGTTTAATGCAATGCCAATCAAAATCCCAATGGCATTTCTTGTAGAAATAGAGAAAGCAATCATGAAATTCATATGGAAAAATAAAAGACCCAGAATAGCAAAAACAATGCTAAGCAAGAAGTGTGAATCAGGCGGTATAGCGATACCAGACTTCAAACTATACTACAGAGCAATAGTAACAAAAACAGCATGGTACTGGTACCAAAACAGGCGGGTGGACCAATGGTACAGAATAGAGGACACAGAAACCAATCCACAAAACTACAACTATCTTATATTTGATAAAGGGGCTAAAAGCATGCAATGGAGGAAGGATAGCATCTTCAACAAATGGTGCTGGGAAAACTGGAAATCCATATGCAACAAAATGAAACTGAATCCCTTTCTCTCGCCATGCACAAAAGTGAATTCAAAATGGATCAAGGAACTTGATATCAAATCAGAGACGCGCCGTCTGATAGAAGAAAAAGTTGGCTACGATCTACAGTCGGTGGGGTCGGGCTCCAAATTCCTCAATAGGACACCCATAGCACAAAAGTTAATAACTAGAATCAACAAATGGGACTTACTCAAACTAAAAGTTTTTTCTCAGCAAAAGAAACAATAAGAGAGGTAAATAGGGAGCCTACATCCTGGGAACAAATCTTTACTCCTCACACTTCAGATAGAGCCCTAATATCCAGAGTATACAAAGAACTCAAAAAATTAGACAATAAGAGAACAAACAACCCAATCAACAAATGGGCCAAGGACCTGAACAGACACTTCACAGAGGAGGACATACAGTCAATCAACAAGTACATGAAAAAATGCTCAACATCTCTAGCTGTCAGAGAAATGCAAATCAAAACCACCCTAAGATACCATCTCACTCCAGTAAGATTGGCAGCCATTAGGAAGTCAAACAACAACAAGTGCTGGCGAGGATGTGGGGAAAAGGGTACACTTGTACATTGCTGGTGGGACTGCAGATTGGTGCAGCCAATTTGGAAAGCAGTATGGAGATTTCTTGGAAAGCTGGGAATGGAGCCACCATTTGACCCAGCTATTCCCCTTCTTGGTCTATTCCCTAAAGACCTAAAAAGAGCATGCTACAGGGACACTGCTACATCGATGTTCATAGCAGCACAGTTCACAATAGCAAGACTGTGGAACCAACCTAGATGCCCTTCAATAGACGAATGGATAAAAAAAATGTGGCATTTATACACAATGGAGTATTACTCTGCATTAAAAAATGACAAAATCATAGAATTTACAGGGAAATGGAGGGCATTAGAGCAGATTATGCTAAGTGAAGCTAGCCAATCCCTAAAAAACAAATGCCAAATGTCTTCTTTGATATAAGGAAAGTAACTAAGAACAGAGTAGGGACGAAGAACAGGAGAAGAAGATTAACATTTAACAGGGATGAGAGGTGGGAGGGAAAGGGAGAGAGAAGGTAAATTGCACGGTAATGGAAGGAGACCCTCAGGGTTATACAGTGGAGGGGGTAGAGAGAGAGGAGGGGAGGGGAGGGGAGAGGTGGGGAGGGGGGAGGGTGGATGATGGGAAAGGCAGCGGAGCACAACAGACACTAGTATGGCAATTTGTAAATCAATGGATGTGTAACTGATGTGAATCTGCAATCTGTGTATGGGGTGAAGGTGGGAGTTCATAACCCACTAGAATCAAAGTGTGGAATATGATATGTCAAGAAATTTGTAATGTTTTGAACAACCCACAATAAAAAATTAAAAAAAAAAAAAATCTAAATCTGAATGAGAGAAAATGGAAAAAATAGTGTGTTAAAGTTGGTTACTAAAATTATTAATAAAATTGAAATGATTTGGCCCCAAACTTCCTATGTTGATGCAGAAATGTTCAGAGGTGAAATGATATATGACAGCTCTATCCTAATCAAACAATTCCAGTTTGAGTGGACTAAATGGTAACTGTAGAAAGGTGGGGGAGGTGTGTCACTAGGAATATGCCCTAAAAGGATGTTCACCATCCCTGTGCTCCCCACTCTTTGCTTCCAAGCTATCATGATTTAAGCAATTCTCCTCTGCTATGATACCCTGCCTCATCTCAGGCTCAGAGCAATGGATTTGGCCAACCATGAACTGAACCTCTGAAACTGTGAGCCCCAAATAAACTTTTCCTTCCCTAAGCTGTTCTCAGGTATTTTCATCACAGCAATGAAAAGCTGACTAACAGAAAAATGATAAAGAATCACGATAGAGTACAACATATCAAGAATGTAACAAAGGAGTGACAGATCAGGAATCCTCAATCCTCCTTTTCCCCATAGACACTGGTCAACAATACATGAACCAATTCTCTTTGAGAGAAATCTACAAAGTGGTTGAAAGGCTCTTAATGCCAGGTGAGCCCTAAACAAATGCATCAAAGCCAGTAGGAAAATTCATGTCTTTCCATATCCTCTCCCCCAGCACAGAGCTACACAATTGATAATAAAGTCCAGTTTCCAGACTTTTATTGGGCAAAGAAAGGAAGAGTGGAGCTTGTGTCAAATGCTCTGAATTTTCTGAAATTTTGTGTCAATTGTCTCAAAGTCATGATGCGATGGAATATACTTCAAATGCTCAAAGACATGCCCCCAGTGATGTGCCTCCTCCAGTCATATCTTACCTGTTTTTAGTCACATGCCTATATAAATTCTTTTTAAGCTGGAAGTACAGTACAGTACTTTTAGTCAGTAGTTTTTTCATATTAATAATCCATCAAATGGATTAATCCACTGATTAGGTCACAGCTCTCATTACCTAATCATATCACCTCTGAACATTCCTGCATTTCACACACATGAGGTTTTTTTTGGGACAACTTATCTAAAACATAAAAATAACCAATAAGCCAAAGAAGAAATCAAAAGAAAATTTAGATAGTATCTTGAGACACATGGAAATGAAAATATAACTTGCCCAAACATACAATTCAGCACAGTAGAACTGAGAATTACATCACATCATGTAGGAGTAGAGTTTTTCCTCAAGAATGAAAGATTTAAGGGCTGCAGTTGTGGCTCAGAGGCAGAGCACTCGCCTAGCATACGTGAGGCACTGGGTTCAATCCTCAGCACCATAAAAAAATAAAATATGTATCCATCTACAACTAGAAGCATAAATGTTTTTTAAAAAGAATGAAAGATTTAAGATTTTTATATGTATGTGTGCACACAAACATGTAAAATTCACTGTATTATCAATAAAGAAAATGTATTTAGCACCCCCCAATGATCAAAATTTCTCAGCTAACTAGGAACAGAAAAAAACCCCCTCAATTTGATAAACAGCACCTATGTAAATCCCAAAATAACATGACACTTATGGTAAAATATTGAATGAAGAGTGCTGAAATAAATCAGAACTTTCATAGTAATTGATTCTTTTTCATACATATTGCTTGAACAACTGGCTATCCATACAGAGAAAAAAAACAACCACTACTTAATCTTGTACTCAAAATTAATATAAGGTGATAAAACTAAATTCTAGTACTATAAAGCTTCAGGAAGAAAATGTAAAAGAACATGTGTTCTTCACTGCATGTAAATTGTTTCCTTTTAAAAAATTATCTCAACATATATTATATATAATCAGAGATACGATAAATTATGATATAATTGTGTATTAAGAATTATAATGCAAACATAAATAAATAAATAAATATTACCAAAATAAAATAGAAAAAGAAAATTATCAAGTTAAAATGTATGCCTTACATTTCTTTTTTAAATTGGTATGGCCATACTTCCTATATATTGGTATGGCAGAATTTCAAAACTATTGAAGCTAGTCCTTATAATTATAGAGAAAAAGATATAAAAAACTGAAAGACTAGAATGCTCTTTGCTATTCAATTGGAATTGCAAGTGTCAGTACAACCCAGAATTTTCAAGGCAGATAGAGACAAAAATTACCTTCCAACTTCAAAAGAAATTATATCAACACATAGCTAAATTTTTAAAAAACACAAAATACTACTTCTATAAGTGAGGAAAAATGTAATGAATTTTAGAAAACATTGTACACAAGAACTTACTTGTGCAGGTTGGTTTAGGGTCCCATCGTCCATTGACACAGATTGAATGTTTCTGCTCCAACTTTCCCCTACATGGGTAACTGAAGTTAAAATTATGATTAAATTCATTTTTATTTGATTGATTTGCTTCATTTGCAGTTAGTCTTGGTGCTTGACACTTCTCAAGTTGATCTGTTGCTATAAAATGAAAATATTTCCATGAAAAGACCAATTATAAGAATCAAGTCAATATAAAGTAGCTGGTACAGTCAATGTCAAATGAAATTTTGATTTGTGCCTTTAAATTCTATCAACCAAATTATTCCTGGTCACCACTGCATGAGATGGCATTTATGTCCTATCTTTGAACTATTATAGAGAATACTTGTCATAAAGATATTTTGTACTTTGGTAACTGAAAGAGCACAAGAGACTCATTTTCTCAGAAGATTTGCATACTAAATAGTTATCAAAGAACTAAATTTGGAAAAAATTTTAAAAACACTAGATTTGGTCCCATATTTGAAACCTGTGCAAAAGATTCATATTCATTTGTTTTCCTAATTGCAACCACCACTATATTATCTATAAGCTAGAATCCTTAAATATTAAAATAAAAACATCATCTATGGAAATGTAATATAACAAGTTGTTCATTTAAACATATTTTTGAGAGTAATAACATAATATAATAAAATCTATCTAAAATATATTTTGTAAGACATGAATAGTTAAGCAGATTTGTTATATGATCCGAGAGAGAGAGGAAATACTTGGAATAAGAAATTGTGTGCTTTCATTAGAAGTGTAGCTTGGTGGTAGAGGCTTGCCTGTCATTTCCAGGCTCTAAGTTCAATCCCTACATCATAAAAAGAAAAAGTAAAAAAGAAATCAGGTGCTTTAAAATCATAATCTCTCTTTTTCCATTCTTAGAGTCTTTAAGAAACTATTATGTATACCAGATCATACTATAATCAAATAATATTATAATACCATAACAACAAAATTTTGCTGACTCTGTTATGAGTTCAATAAGTACTACAGAAGCTTTCAATGTACCATATATTTCAATAACTCAGGAAAGATGAGAATTCTTTTTGAAAATGATAAAATGTCTGTATTGGTCTCTGTAAATATTTGTTATTAACAATTTGAAAAGCAGAATCAAGTGAGGATAAACAGAGCAAAGAAAACATCAGTAACTACCAAAGCACAGTAAGTTTGTAAACCAATCTTTAAAAACAAAACAATGAAATGGGAAATTTAAAAGCACATGAGGTACTTGAGAATTAGTCTCATCCTTGGGGCTGGTGCACAGTGTTGAGAAAGGAAAAACAAGAGGTAGAAACTAAAGGAACATCTTTGGTCAAGGGAAACTGTTTGTGCCCTGGATTTGATCGGTTTCTGAAAGGATTTCTTTGGTTTCGGGAGTAAATAAATATATTGAGAAGCATGAAAAGCTAGAGTGGTGGAAAGTACAAAATGAATATTGAAAGGGTAGAATTATAGACCAAACTATGAGAGCTGGAAGGACTTATATGAAGCGGACTATAGGCAGTAAGCAGAAGATGATTCACAGGATGAAAAACTCTGAGATCAGAAGAAATAATAATTGTAGCACAACTTTGAGTTTAATTAAAATGAAAAGTTGAGAGTTTCTGATGCCTAATATTAGTTTTCCTCCCATAAGAAATCAGATAAAACCATTTGTGTATGAAAAAGGACAAGGATGAGGTGAGGTCCAAAAGGATTGAAGACACTTTATTCACAGAAATGTGTTTAGCAAAAAATGTTAATAATCAACATAATTTATTGTTTCATTTGACAAAAACTTAATAAATGCTTCTGTATGTCAATCCATCTTAATGTCATGAGAACAAAACAAAGGTAATTCCTGTTCTGGAGGAACTCTACTCTGTTCTGAGATTAATTATGTCTAGAAATCCAATGAATAAATAAGACTGGATACTCAGGACAGACTTAAAATGAAGGACCCAGGGAAATCTAGGCTTGATCACCAACAGGGAAAGTGTGAAATCAATCAGTGATATTTGATTCCTGGCCCAGCACCAGATATGTAATGTTGCTAAGTTACTACTAACACCTTGTTAACTTTGTAACTGAGAATTTATCCTTGTCAGAATCTCTGACAGAAAAAGATTCTTATAGGAAAAGCTAGTAACAAGTGGGTATTTTGTGGACTTTATTTGTTTTCCAGGGCTTGAAAGACAGAGTGCCATATAGAACAACAATAATATCTATGTAAAATACTTATATTTTTTGAAAGTAATATTCACATTTTAATCATGTGATTAAGTAAAATCTAGCTTTACACTTATAAGGTAAATAATATTAATAGGGATAGAAACATTAATAAATTCTATCACTACTTTTATTTATTTCTTCTGGAAACTCATATTAAATGCTGAGCAATAAAATTCATTATAGTTAAGACTAGACTTTTTTCAAGAATATCTCTAATTTTATGAATAGATTGCAAATATCTTTTCCACAAAACTTAAACTTCATTAAGTGTGAATTTGAGGAGGGCAGTCTTACCAACACACAGAGGAATTTGGGTCCACATTCCACTAATACATGTAATTGATCTGTCTCCAATCATTGTAAAGGTTTCTGTACAATTGAACTCCACTGAATCCCCATGGTGATAAGGAGGGTCAGAAGGCTGGGCAAAGCCATGGTCAAGTTCAGGTATAGCTCCACATGTTCTCTCCTCCTCTATATAAATTTCACAAATACATGTTGATAATGAAGACACAGTATGTATGTTTAAATAAATACAAAAATATTTCAGTTTAAATTTAGTATTTTTAATATATTACCAATACATTTTGGCAAGGTTGTCCACGTTCCATCAACACATTGAATTTTATTAGGTCCCTTCATCAAAAATCTAGGATTGCAATTATATTCTACTACTACATTGTGTCCATATTCTTCTTTCTTTGTTTCTTTAACTTCCCCATTGAATAGTGGAGGAGGTGGACCACATGATCTGTAGTAGAAACAATGGTTAATGGTTAAATAGTCTATCTTGCACGTAAAAAAATCCAGAAAAATGGAGAGAATTCTTTTTTAATTTATTATTTTTTCATATGATTAATTGTAAAATTCTTAATTAAAAATAAATTTTTACATTATATTCATATTTCCAAGTTGGATTAATTCTATTATAGTAACATTGGAAATATTTTAAAGCTTTGAATATTTTCAATGATGTAGATATTTTGAAGATACATACAAACTGTTAGCAAATGTGGTTGTGTAAATTATATTAATTTTTAATTCTATAGTAACATTTTACCATAATTTTTTGAGAAAGTATCATCAATGAGACAAGCATTTGATCAACATCTTTAACTGATTTTCTAATGTACTCCATTGAATTAACTATAAACTGTTTAAATATTGTTTAGATATACTCTATGAAACTTGAGAGAAGTCCTGTACTATATAATATGTCCAGTATTAATGGTAGCAGTGTAGGAAAAATGGAAAGTAACAAAGTAAATCTCTCTAGTCTCAGCCACCATATTTGTATGTATGAATACTCCCAATACATATTTCAAGAAATAATTGGTGATTAAATTCTTAAATAAACTAGTTGTGCTTTCTGCCACATAGCACATATCAACAACTTCATTAATTAGATTACAGATACAGTGGAAGCCAATAAAAAATTAATAGAAGAAAGAAAAAAAGGTTTATATTTAATATTCTAATCATCATATTTACAACAGAAAGATAAATACTCACCTTTACATGTTGGGATATCCGGGGACCATCCAAAATGGTAGCATTGTACTGAATCTGGTCTAACTCTTGTAAGTCCTGATCGGCAGGAAAATTTCAACAAATCTCCAACTTTATATTTATCTTTCTTGGGATCAGCCATTAAGAATTTTCCCATTTTGGGAATCCTGCATTCCCTTTCTAAAATAAAAAATAAAATGATTTAATAAGAATATATAATTAATCATTGACAAATTACATTTTACATTGTCATTTTAAAATGAGGTAGGTGTTCAGTGATGCATATACAGGACAGTATCAGACAAATCCTCTTCCTGGAAAAAATGTTACAGATTAGTTTTATTCACTGCCTAAATTTACTCATCTAGGACTCTGAGAAATATGGTGATATTGAATGGCAATATATCTGTCCTGAAATTTAACTTGCAAATTCAACTAGTTTTCACTGAATCTGGCTTATTATTGATATTTGTAAAATTTAATGTCATATTCCCTTAAAACACGGAATTATTCTCATATTAAATCAACCTGCTTTGTATAAATTTTAAATTGTACATTTTTTTAAAAAACTGGCTTTTCTGTTTAATATAATAGAGAAAATAGATTATATTAAAAAGCATCTCTAATGTATTTGAAGTTAGAGTAACATTAAAAAATTATATAATTAATATATTACAAATAAAGAAAACAAACTAAGAAATAGTTCAAAGTCAAACTGATAGGTGTCTTGAATCCTTACATTAATATTCAATTATTTTATTATAATTTTTATTAATGATTATTAATTATTTTAATTCAAATGTGGAATACTGTATAAAATTCTCTCACATTTTTTAATTTTTTAAAAGTAGGTAACACTAGCAAATAACATTGAAAAATCATTTTTCTTATTTGGAATACCTCTTCCTTACAAATTCATAAAATCGAAGGCTGCAATTATAAAATTAGAACCATGGTAGAAAGAAAATGCATACTATCAAAATTCAAGTGCCAAAACATTTATAAATTTAAATGTACAATAAAAACTATTTTTAAGAATAATGCTTCAAAAACTAAAAGTTTTTTCTGTGGGGCTGGGGATGCAGCTCATGCTTAGCAGGTGTGAGGACCTGGAATCAATCCCCAGAACCCCAATTAATTTTGTAATTCTTTTGAGTATTGCAGATTACTTGAGAAAAAAAACTACACTTGAATGAGAGTCACTGGGATTCCACTCCTTGAATTATATTACAATCGTCTACATTAAAGTCATTTTGTCTTTGGAGGGGGTTTCAAGATGGAAGACTAGAGAAGCCACTCTTGTGGCTGCCCAAGGCATGAAACCAAGAAAGCAGACAGGTAGCTTCTTAGCAAGGTGGGTGTACAAAAAAATAAAACAAAAAAGTTGGGGGGGGAGGCTTTATTGGAATATAATGCTGGACATTCAAGGCAGATCAGGGACTCAGAGGTTGTATAAAATAAAATAAGGAAGAAATCCCCAGCTCCACAGCCACTACCACAGCTGGAAGAACCAGCCACAGTGGTCCCTCCATGACCAAAGTGGAGTGATAAAGGAATTAAAGGAGCCCACATTTGGGGTAGACTTGAGGCTTGTCTAGATATAGAAAGTTTAGAGATCAAAGACACTGCCCAACTAAACTGAATGGGGTGCTTCACAGTATGCTTGTGTAGGTAAGAAGCCACCATCTCTCCAGACTTTATGCAGAGGACAGAGTTAAGAACCATTTTGCAGCCATGGTGTGGTGGCCAGCAGCCAGGAGAGCTGATTCCTGAAAAACCCGAGTTTGTCCCAAAATACAGGCCTAGAAAACCCACACTCATGACATAAAGTGTGTCTAAGTGACCAGGAGAAAATCAAATGTGGAGAGAGGTTTACACAGAGGAGAACTGGTTGTGGAAACCCAATTGGCTTTCCCCCTCTCCCTCTAAACATACTGCTTTCAGAACCAACTAGAAGAAACATGCCTAGCTAGGAATTCAAAAGGGTGAGGTGGGAGAGAGTGGGTTTGGAGACTGAACCCAAGACCAGGAAGCATGGAATCAACAGGTGATGTAGTGGACTTAATATTGGCTTCTCACCCACATGAGTGGAACCCAGGGGAGATCCCTGGGGTGCAGTCTTCCAATATGGATTGACAATTGCTGATCCCTGGAGGTGCATGATTTAAAGTCTCCAGACCAATTGGCATTCAGTGAAGAACCTAGAGACCCACCTAAATCTAAAGCCCTCCTTCAGGAGTTCCACCTATGGGATTACCTCTCTCTCCCCAGCAATCCCACCTAACACTGCTGAGAAGGGAAGCTAAGAATCTTTTGAACTCCAGCAAACACAATTGTTAATTTTTCTTTTTTTTTTTCAATAGTTAAAATAATACATCTTTATTACATACTAACAACATTATTTTTTTCTTTTTTTATTATTAGTTGTTCAAAACATTACAAAGCTCTTGACATATCATATTTCATACATTTGATTCAAGCAGATTATGAACTCCCATTTTTAATTCATCAAGATCTTTTTTTCCCTTTTTTTCTTTGTTAAATTGTGACCTTGAGTTATTCATGGACATTTATACATATTCATATTTGTTGTTTTTTCCTCATTTATAACATTTTTGAAACCAGTTACTTTTCATGGATCAGTATTTTGAGGACTAGGATGTTTGATTACTATATTTCAGTTTTGTTTTGTATTCTTTTAATTTTGTTTTTAATTTAAAAAATTTTTACCTTATATATGTATTTTTTCTCACTTATCTGTTTCTTTTTATTTTCTTTCTCTCTTTTCTTCTGCTAACAGCCAATCTCCATTGTCCTCCCTTCCACTCTTAAATTTTTACTTCTATCTTCTCTCTTCCTCCCTCATAATCA